ACCAGTACCACAGAAGGTACTAAGTAAATATTCTATGAATGAACGTGCCCTGTCTCTTAAGCCAGAGCACCGAGTCTACCTTCTTTCTCCTAACTAGCAATATTCATCATCTATGAGACAAAGGAAACATGAAAAACCATGTCCAGTTTTTCTCTTCTCTTCTCTTCCCAATTTGGTCCTGAAGCCAGCAGGTGAGGCAGCGCCAGCAGAAGTCTCGTGTGCGAGAAAAGGAGATGCAAGAGCTACAGGGGCCCATGGGATGGATGGGAGCGCATGAGTGAGATAGGAGAGTGTCCACACCGGTCAAGAAAGCGTGAATGCAGAAGGTCACGTCACCCAGAATGTGAGGCGCATGACTCTCCTTGTGACCGGCACAATGCTCTCTTTCTAGCAGGCTTGTACAACAGACCATTGACACTCGGCTCTCAGCTACGATGTGGCAGCTACCTGGAGAGCTCCAAGTGCAGCAACCTAGTGGCTTGCTGAAGCACATAGTAGAAGCAGGCTGGGCTACTGAAATTTCATTCTGCTGCTTTGGGACCCTGACCAATCACCTGACAAAATATCATAACCTCTTAACCTCATAACCTTTAGCCAATATGCAGAAAAAGGAATTTAAGAAAGAACTTCTGAGGCAACTGGCCATTTCTTTTTCTTTCTTTGGCAACTGGCCATTTCTCAGTTCCACCATCGTTGCTTAGGAAATGCCTTTCACGAGTCTTTTCCATTGTGATGATTTTTTAGATGGGCAAACCTAGTACAAGCCCCATGCCCAGTGCTGTGGTAAAGGCACCAATCAAGGCTCTACAGGGTACTTTAGAGCCATCTCTGGGCTACTTCCCTGTAACAAATGAGTCGCACTGGAGGCCACAACAGACAGATGACTTTAACAAGCTTTACAGAGATAAAATAAAGTACGAGTAACTAAACAATAATCTTTACGTCACCCAATCAGAAGCTTTGAAAATAATCCTTACTCTGACTTTGTTATTTCCCATTCTTTCCCTTACTCTAGCATCTGTTAAATTTTAAGGTTATAAAATGTCAAATAATCAACCCATACTTACACCCACTGTGTGCTCGGAGTGGCAGGGAATCACCAAGAGGGAACCTAGAGAGAAGGCCGCTGGGTCGTAGCTAGCTGCAAGCAGTACAGGCCCACACCCAGCTACCCATGAGCTCGGACCCGGTCTCATGTGAGAGAAAGGATTTTTGTAACATTGAAATGCAGACAAGCGGAGCTTCAGAAACATGAAAATATTTATTCTTAAAATGGCGGTAGGCTTCCATAATTAAAGAGCTGAATAATACATGTGTTTTGAAGTCAAATCTGGCCTGAGCTAACTGCCAATGCAGAGTCTGAGGAGAGTAACTGGGGAGAAAAACAAATAAACAAACAAAAACCAAAGGCCAAAGCCAAATAATGAAATGTAGGGTAAAGGACAATAATCACAAACCCCCCAGGAAGTCTGCTCTCCTCTTGTGCCTGACTGTTTCTCAGCCTCACTGGCATAGCTGACCGTAAGGGAAAAGACAAAAGCACTTCAGTTACTGGTTAGGAGGCAAAGACCGGAACAACATGGGAAGCATGTCCAACGGTTGGCGGCTGGGCTCCCTTTCCTCCCCGGTAGTAAGAAGCTGCCGAGGGAACCACTGCTGGATGATTCTGTGTGCTAGAAAGCCTTTTGTAATAATCTTCTTTAAAAAGAATCACTTCAAAAAGTAATCTAATTTGGGTGTTGAATGACATCAAAAGAGCCCTGATGGGCTTAAGACTTATCTGTATTCTTCTGACATGCCTTCCATTGAGAGATGAAATCTACTTCCTCTCGCCTTAGGCATGGCTAGTCAAATGGCCGGCTTTCAAGGAAAAGAACGAGGCAGAAGTGATACTGGGTGGCTTCCAACGTTGGGTCATAAGAAGCTGTACAGCTTTTTAAGAAGCTGTCACTTTGGGAAGCTGGTCACCATGCTGTGAGGAATCCCAGTCACAAGGAGAAGCTATGTGTAGGTGTTCTTGCCAACTGCCTCTGTTGAGATTCCAGCCACGACCATCAACTGCCCGGCATGTAACTAATACCTGCAAGCCACTTCCTGCCCCAGACAATCTCTCGTGGCCAGAACTTAAGAAACCTTGAGCAAAGTTCACCAAGCTGAGCACAATCAACTCTTGTACCTGGAGAGAAAACAAGGACTAACCAATTGTAGTTTTGCACCACTAAGTTTGAGTGATGTGTTACACAGAAATAGTTAACTGAAATAAGAGCTTCCAACTAGCCTGCCAGGAGGGCGATTACGTCAATGATTTCCCTATTATCTTCTAGAAATAAATCGTTCTGTTTGTGCCATCAGCCAGACTACCACATAGAACCAAAATAGATCCAGGTGATGAGGAGTCATTAGGCCTCATAGCTGCTGCGTTCATTCCTCTTGGGCTAAAAGCCGAGCCGGGTTTCAGTGAAACCCCCTCAGCACTAAGGCTCGGTGATTTATGAAAGAACACAGCAGGCTGTGTCAGCACTGCCCTCGCCCTGCTGCTTTAGAGGTTCTGACTCGGGAGGGTCTGTCTCTCCAACACCCGCAGAACGTGGCGACTTCTAACTCCTTACTGGCATTTCATTGTCACCCAGAGTTAGGAATTTGTGGGGTCTTGAAATCTTTACCTACACAAGACTTGCTAAATTGTCCTAAGCTCTGAACCAAGCCAGAATAAAATTCAGCTGCGGTTAGTTACCATGGCGTCATGCAGCAGAAGGAAACACTGCCCAGTGCTGCACCATCTCCATCCTCCTCGGCATGTCTGTGAGTGCACTGGGGAGGCAACTGTGTACGCTGCCAAGTGCCTTCCAAGCGGAAGGCTCGTCTTCAGAATGTGCTATTCCACTGTGCTCCATAAGATTTTCATCAGCTAATTTTCAGAAGTAGACTGCTAGACCTTTCTGTGTAGTCTGTCTTGGTCTTGAAGTGCTGCTGAAGTCTGATGACCGTGGATGATCCACCTGCGGGTGTGTGAAACACTGGAGTACAGCTTCCAGCAACACACAAGCTACCACAGTTTAACAAACAGAAAGAAAATCCACTGCCGTTGAGCCAATTCCAGCTCATAGCAGCCCTACAGGGCAGAGTGGACCTGCTCCGTGGGATTTCTGAGGCTGCGAATCTCTGCAGAAACAGACAGCCTCAACTTTCTCCTGTGGAGCAGCTGGGGGGTTCAAACGGCTGCACTTCCAGTTAGCCCCACACTCAGCCCACTGCACAACCAGGGGTGGTGGAACATCCAGTTAGATAAAGCTAATTTGCTCCAAAATAGTGAAGTGTCAAATTTTATAAACTAAAAACCAAAAGTAGACGTGAAGTTAGTAAGGTACAAAGGATAGATCATGTGAGCGGACTGAAATCAACTATGGGGTGCCACTGCCAGATAGCTACCACCAGCTCTGTTGCCCAAGAGACAAATTCCAGCACCCAGAAAGGCGTTTCCCTCCCAACCCCATGGCCAAATGTTCCCACCACACCGAGAGTGGAACCCACCACCGAGCTAGACGTTATTGCCACACTCTCTCCTCCCTCCTCTCTGGGGTCTCACAGCCGGCTTTACATTTCCCACTTGTCGGGCTGTTTCACACAAGTAGCAATTATATCATGCCTCAAAGAATGAAAACAAAATCCTCTCTAACTTTAGAAAGAATGTGATGCGAGAATGACAAATGTGTCTGGTTTTCAGAGTGATAGTGCACTAGGGTAGACCCCATGTCCTGGGGGGATTGCTAGAACGTGATAAAATTAGCCAGCCTCAGTCAAGTTGTCTAAAGAGGAAACGGTACTTCTACTTCTGGCTAGGCACAAGGAGAAACTAGAAAATGGACACACGATCACACACCTGGGTCCTTTTCAAATGAGAGGGGTCTGTGGTTTCCAGCCCCCTGAGAACACAGAGAAGATGCCTGTTAAGAAAAGCAGCTGATGAACCTTTGGGGTGCCATTCTCCCAGATGGTAACAACATTCTTGGCTCTTTAAGCCCTTTTCTTGAAGCTTGTCTTCACTCCCACCTGACTGCTTCCCTTTACGTCAGCTAAGGACCAATCTAGACCACAGTCATTGTAAACAAAAGGCAGGCCAACAAATTAAGCCGAATAAACTAAGGCCAAGTACATACAGTGAACATAGATTACGGCAAGGGTCCTCAAACTACGGCC